GATATTTAATTGATTATAAATTAATATATATTAATTATGATATATTTTAAAAGGTCTCCTTTATCCTCCCCCCCATTAAAATAATTTCTGAATCTGCCCTTGCTACAGTCCCCGATGCTTTCACTCCTTTTTTCGGCCTCCTTCGCCTTGGCCTGCCCCCTCCACCGCAGTCCCCGCATCCGTCCCGTCTCGTGTCTGCCGCCCCCTCCTCCTTAGCCGCGCCGCCCGGCCGGCAGAGCTCATAATGAGCACACACAAGCGGCGCGGAGGGCGAGGCAGCGGCGGGCAGGGGCGGGGGCAGAGGAAAGTAATGAAGGGGCGAGAAGGGGGAAGAGAGATGGAAAGAAATGAAGTAGCAAATTCAGGACGAGAAGACAGCGATGTCGAAGTGCGGGTGCGGCGATCCGGGTGCCGCGTGGTGGTAATGTCTCTCTTGCATGCGTTGCCTGCCAACGTTTTTGACCCGGGGAACCCCTCAATTAACAGCTAAATAATGACAGGTCTCCATTTGGGAGCACTGGGTTGGAGCTCGGAATTCTCTCCGTTGTTAAGTATTACAAATAAGAAGCGTCTGTCACAACATCAAATTTCATCCATTGGATATGAACGGAAGCATTTCCCTTGATTCGTTACTGCATGACTCCGAGGGCGTTAACTGGTCGTTAGCGCAGTGCATATTTTATGGGAGAGTGTCGGTGATCTTGCCCCGCTAACTGGTGAGATCGGGCGCCGTCCTACACGTCGCCGTGCCAGTTTTACCTAACCAGAAATCTCCCACCAGTGGGGCACCGCTGCACCCGAAAGAAGCTCTTATCTCCCGTCTCCCGACACGTCGGGTGGTGTACTGCATGTGAGAGTGAGTGTGTGTGCGAAAGGAGTGAGCATAAGACAAGGAAGGTGTCGGAAAGATCGCTCGCGAACCGTGACCCACTTCTCAGAGTACTGCTCCGGCATTCGCCTGGCGTTGATCGAAGAAACTACGGAAAAACACCAATCAGAGCATCCGACCGTTAGAAGCATTTCGCATTTGATGTTAGTACAATGAAACTGCCGTGACCGAAAAAAAAACCGCTTCCGCCCAACGCCACCCCCGCCTTCGCACGTCGCCAGCCCTCCCGGCTGCCCGCCGTCGGACGGGCGTCAGAAACGCGCAGGCGCGGGCGCAGTCGCCGCCGATAAGCAGGTCGGCGACCCCCCGCGGGGCACCTGCGCGCAGACGGCGCGAGCCGGAGCGACAGAGCGAGAGAGCGACAGAGCGAGAGCGGAGTGGAGCGAGCGCGGGAGGCGAGGGCGGAAACGCGCGTCCCCGCCTCGCGCCCACAGAGCATTGTTCCCGCCTGCGGAGGCATTCCGCAGCTACGCACACTGGGCGGACGTCGGGAAACTCCTGGTGCTACAGCAGCACACACTTTCTCATAATTGTAATTTTAATTGTTCTTTCTCTTATTTGTAATTTAGGCACGTTTTTTTATTTCTAAAAGTGCCACGAAAATGAGACCTACGCTTGGACTATTTATCCAAGAAAAAAACAACAACAACCATATTTATCCAAAAAATTTTTGAGGCAAAAATAAATAAAATAAAATAAAATAAAAATAATGTCGTGATTTCATATAAAATAGCCTACCTGCCAAATTCAATACATGCGTTTCAAATTCGCAAATTCTATTGTGGCCAGATCGATCGGCAAGTGTCAGTTATGCAGAACAATGTGTAATCGCGTAAGCGTTATAACGGACGGATATACGTATTATCACAAACCAATTTTTTCTTGTCGAAAACCCACAAATCGTCGATTCTGACTACATGTGTTGTATTGACAATTGATCATTTCGTGTTTCCGGGACTAACGTCCGTAGCTGTTGAGGTGTTCCCAATCAATCAAATCAAACCAATCAAATTGCGTTGGCTCCATTTGGACCCACTGCGCAGTTGCTGGCGGCCACGCGCCGTCTTGTGCCCGGGATCGCCTCTGCGCCGGCGATTTGAATGAATGGAGTCAGTCGCTGCATGTGCCTGCGGACTGCTGAACGCGCTGCGCGTTTATTGCTCTTGAACGCGAGGACTGTCCTCACAAGTCACCTCACAGATCCCCCAACTCAAACTTTGAACCTGTCACCATTTCTACTCCCTTCTTCCAGTTCCCCATAATATGAGAATCTAATCGCCTTTTCATATACGTGGAAATGCTCTTCTGAGTTTCGTACATCGATTTTAAGCTGTATAATTGTCTGTGTCTGTTCTTGTTTTATTATGGATCTTGTGTTTCCAACAAACATCTGGAAGAGACGGAGGCTGAATGATGTACATCATTCGTGAAATAAGTGCTTTTGTAAAAACAAAAGGACCTAACACAAAGAGCTAGCATAATCATGCATTATCGCCCAGCCACAAACAGGTGTATTACTACTTATATGTGAAACAAACCTTGAATGCAAATATTCAAGGGAATTTTCGTTCAGCTTTGCAAGTTCTGTAGTTCTGGAGTTTATCAAGTGAACTTTGCAACATCTGCTAGTTTTAATTCCGCTATCTTGAGTCAATGGGTTACTGTCGACACCCCACTGTCAATAATTGAACGGCGGTTGATTTCATTTTTCTCAAAGAGTAACAATTAGAGACTGATTAGAATGTGAGCCGATACTAGAATATAATTTTGTAATGTAATAGAGAATCTAATAAAACACTGTACTGATTCTATCGTTGCAATTAGAACTTTCTTTATATTTTTATCACAACTTTTTTGTGCATTTAAAGGCGTTTGAAGAAGTACTTGATATAGTAATGCCACATGATCATTGTCTTCCGAAATTGTTTCGAACTTTGACAAATGTCTTCAATCCCCTTACTGTAGTCATTTTTACATCTAGAGGTATACTTATCGGCACAAGAAATTCAGATTCTAGATGCCGATTTTACATGAATATTCGTGCAAGTAGAATGACGACTAATCTACCTGTAATTGTAGTTAATGCGTCTCAGTTCTCCAGATAACAAATATGTGAAAGTGAAATGACGAGAATGTAAAAGCTTTACTTGCCTCCAAATTGCTGCATGAGATACATTTCTTTGTTGAGGGATTTCCATATCGATTCGTAGGTTCAAAAATTAACCAAAAATTGCACTTGAGCAATTTGCTAAGAAGGGGTACGCGCCCTTTTCCTTCCGAATTGGGAGCAAGAGGAAAGAAGTATTAATGGACTTGCGTTTCCACCTCAATTATCAGTATGTCCTTATTCGTAATTTTTAAAATACTTCCTTAAACTTTTTAAATGTGATAAGAATGGCATACGGCATTTCACATTTCCTACATTTATTGGCCACATCAAAGAGAAATTATTTCTTTACATGCTACAGTAATTATTCTTCATCACTTCATCAATGATTTCATTTACAATTTATAAACAATGCCATCGTATACTTAAGAAAAGTATAGGATTCTAAAAGGATATAAAGATAAAAAAATGGAAATGAGAAGTGAATTTTTAAAAATTTAATAGGTGATTCCGTCATGTCAAGTTGAATCGTTTGAAAGTCGAATCGTTTTGGGTCTAAAGACAGATTTGGATATTGACCATTTACGGTGTACTTTTATTATAAATTTAATATATCTCTATACCTATCATTAGTACTTGACGAGGCAATCAATCAGATTTTGAAACATTAAGTGCTATTGACACACTCATTTGACGTAAATAAATAAATAAATATTTTCAGATAAAAAAAGTTGACTTTATTCTCATTAAAAATGAAGATACTTTCCAATTACATTTTCAAGATTAATTTGACAATAATTTCAAGTACTCCATAAACCACTATGGAAATATAATTAAACTTAATTTTTTAAATTTCAAATCATATTAGACGGTTCACTTTTGTGACTTGAATAATCCAGCAGTTTGAATTTTCAAATTCGAGAGAAAAAATACGCCTGGGGATACGTAATACGGAAAATTTTGAATAATCTGAATACCCCTGGTCCCTGGAGCAGAGCGTATCTCATCTGTTTGCTCGTTCGCCGCTTCCTGGGATAACTCTAACCCATGGTCTCCAAGGAGTACCCTTCTGAAGCTCCGATGTTTTTATGCAGGCTTTTCTCCCTCATCTACTTTTCGAACGATTGATCTGGTAACGTATAACCGCGCATGTCTGTGAAATACACGGTACCATGGAGCTCGTATCTCAAGAAATACAGCGGGTTATCTTCTAAAGTAACCGCCCATTTATAAGTCCCATTCATTTCACCCTTGGGGCTCAGTGTTTGGTGAACTCCTGAGAGATGTTTATCTCAATTTGAAAATGTTTTTGAGCAATATCGGATGCCGATTCCAATACATTGGTTAACAAGGTAATGAACTACAAAGGAGGTGGAAGGAGTGTTTTTCATCTATTTTAACAAGGTAAGAATTTTTACGATTTTGTGAGGAAAAAAATTGTAACGAGTTGTATCATATTATTATACAATTACACCATGATAATAATAGTTTTAAACATTCCTAAGAAAAATAAATATAAATGGGTGGTTTTGTCCTATATTTTTTAAACAGTCTGAAATTATGTGTTTTTGAAAAAGTTACCACTAAATATTTAGGATGAATTGTTTTTGCTATCCCGTCCGCAAAATGTTGCCTTGCTTTGTTCATTATATTTAACTGTTTCTTTTTTCAAATCAACCAACAAGGGAATACGTAATTTGCACCTCTTTTATCTTTATTTTGTTTCTTTCTAAAACCGACTCGACAAAAAGAGGCCGTTAGTAGCGCCGTCTGAAATAATCGATACATCTCTAACGCAAACAATAAAACAAATTACTGTGCTTGTATTATTGATGTATGTTTAGGTAAGCATCCAAACAGTATCAGAAGATCTGTATGACGATATGTTCTGTAGATTTTGCTTGATCGAAGTATAATAAATTTAAATAGTTTAAGTGAGTGAACGGAATCTTGCAGTAAAGTAGAGTGAAAAAGTGATGGCAATTAGACAAATTTTAACGAAAAATGGCTACTCAAGGGGAAGTGGATGTGTATATTGCACAGCTATTGAATTGTGAGCTCATTGGTGAACTTGAAGTGAAGAAACTGTGCGAAAAGGCGAAGGAAATTCTATTGGGAGAGAAGAACGTGAAGCGAGTGCATGCACCAGTTACTGTGTGTGGAGATATTCACGGGCAGTTCTATGACTTAAAGGAATTATTTGAAATTGGGGGTTTTATCCCTATTATGAATTACCTGTTTATGGGAGATTATGTCGATCGCGGATTTTACAGTGTAGAAAGTTTTCTGCTCCTTTTATCATTGAAAGTCAGGTACCCTGATCGAATAACTTTAATTAGAGGAAATCACGAATCCAGACAAATAACCCAAGTGTATGGATTCTACGACGAATGTTTGAGAAAGTACGGCGGAATCACGGTGTGGAAATATTGCACAGATGTTTTCGACTATTTGAGCCTTTGTGCTGTGATTGACGGGAAAGTATTTTGTGTCCATGGTGGGTTATCTCCTGCAGTGGAAACTATAGATCAAATAAATTGTATAATGAAAGTGCAAGACATTCCAACTGAAGGTGCCATGTGTGACTTACTATGGTCAGATCCCGATGACATTCAAGGATGGGGAGTAAACTCCCGAGGTGCTGGGTATTTGTATGGAGGGGACGTCGCACATCGTTTCAGTCAATCGAACGGGATCGATTTGATCTGTAGATCGCACCAGTTGGCGATGGAAGGAATTAAATGGCATTTCAATAATTTAGTGTGCACAGTATGGTCAGCACCGAACTATTGCTATAGATGTGGCAACGTTGCGGCTATCTTGGAACTTGACGAATATCTACAGCGACAGTTTACCATTTTTGATGCCGCCCCTTGTCAAAGTAGAGAAGTAGCCGAGATCAAGAACCTACCTGATTATTTTCTCTAAATTGTTTGATAGCGAGTGCATTTTTGTTTTTCGAAAGTGTACTGTATAAACGCCTATATGTACGAATTCAGTTTGTTGTTCTCCATAAGCTTTTATGTATACTTTGTATGTAATAGTGATACTTTTTATAAAACATTAATTTATATTACTCATAGTATATTTTGTGTTTATTTTCATGTTAGCAGAATTAATATCAAGATAACTGTACAAATTCTTTCAGTTACTCGAAAAAAATACGGGGTTCTGGCATAAATATTTTTTTTTATGTTCAATGCAAAACTAGGCTAAAACATATGAATTGTTTCCCATGTAGTTTCAAAAAGTCATCATCAAATTTCTTAATTGATGAAAAAAGGCGGATAGATTGATTGTCTTACACCAGAGATTGTAATCAGAATGGTAACATTTTGTTATTATTCTTTCGCTTATTACTTCGGCGTTATATATTCTGGGGTTTATGTAACAGTCTCAAATATTTCACGTTTCAAGAAAATTAAATTATCCCCTCAAGGTACGCGTAAATAATAACAACTAATCTTAATGCCAAATCAACATTTTCTTTACAATTTGTCCAAGTAACATTCTACTGAATATATAGTAGATATTTATTTCTTGAAAGAATTTTAGGCAACTAGCCTCATTTTCAATGGCCAAAGGCACTGTTTTGTTGTGACGTATTAGAACTTAATACGCGATTCCGTTTTAGCACTATGAAAACTGTTTTTTCTTACTATTGAAATTAGATCTCCTCCAAGAACCGACACAAAGAAAACTTGACAGTTTTTTTCTCTTTTGTTCGCCGATAAGGAAATTGCCCTGCGCGTCCTTCCCAAAGCCAGGTTTTTGCGCCACATGAAGATTTATAGAGCCGGTTTCCCCTCCTGGCGACCGTTCGAAGGGTTGTGACGGGCCGTCAGGCGGTGATAAGCAGCACGCGAAGTTTAGGGAAAATGGGGAAATAATTACCGGCGGCGGAAGGGGCGAAGGGGGCGTCACGGGTGATAAGTGCTCGGAGGAGGGGGGGCGATATGGCTGTGGGGGCGACGCAATGCAAAGCGGCCCCCGTTATCAGGGAACCCCCGCCGTGTTGCCCGCCCCTCGCCGCCCGCCGAGTGACCGGTTGCCTGCCGCTCAGACGGACGACCCCGATGGGAACCTGTTGCAGTTATGCGTTCATCGCCTCCACTGGCTTCGTGCGGCCGCGAAACGCCCGACGACGAGACGAGTGGTAGACGAGTGGGTAGACGAGTGGGTAGGGGACGAGTGGGTAGAACGTGGGTAGACGAGTGGGTAGACGAGTGGGTAGACGAGTGGTAGACGAGTGGGTGGACGAGTGGGTGGACGAGTGGGTGACGAGTGGGTGGACGAGTTGGGTGGACGAGTGGGTAGACGAGTGGGTAGACGAGTAGGGTAGGACGAGTGGGTGGACGAGTGGGTGGACGAGTGGGGTGGACGCAGTGGGTGGACGATAGTGGGTGACGAGGCGGTGGACGCAGTGGGTGGACGAGTGCGGTGGACGAGTGGTGTGACGAGTGGGTGGACGAGTGGGTGGACGAGTGGGTGGAACGAGTGGGTGGACGAGTGGGTGGACGAGTGGCGTTGACGAGTGGGTGGACATGGGATCGGTGGGTGACGAGTGGGGACGATGGTGGCAACGATGTTGGGTGACGGTGGGTGACGATGGCTGGACTGATGGGTGGACGACGTGGGTGGCGAGTGGGTGGCGATGGTGGCGATGTGGGGCGGGTGGGCGAGTGGGTGGGCAGTGGTGGCGAGGGTGGGCGAGTGGGCGCGTCGGCGGATGGGTATTAGAGTGGGTGGACAGGGGGTTGAATGGCCTGGGTAGACGACGCGAAGGCTGCGGGCTTTGGAAGTAAGAGGTGTTCAAACAAGCACTAGCGGCTCTGTTGTGGGTATGCTAGTGAGGTGTTGCTGAAGTTATTCAAGGGTGAAATAATGGAAGTCAAATCTAAGTTGACTTCCATTATTTCATACTAGTGTTTGTACTTAAACTATTTTTCCTAACCTTCTGGGATATCAGTGATGTCGGGCTGAGTTCACTGATCTTCCACCTTAGAATATGGCATTCAACTTTCAGATGATACGTGTGAAATTGGTGGGGAACAAAGCGGATTCGCGGCAGGTGAACTCAACATTTTGTTGTTTCCTCTATCCCTCATTCCACCACTGCCTCATCATCCAAATTATATCATTACCAATTCATCAAAATTAATAATCTCGAGTACGACCGAAAAGGGTAGGGAGTGACAATAATGATGAAACGTTACTCATGCCAGATAGGAAATCATAGCACGGGCACCAAACTCTCAAGAAATAATTTCAAGATTATGGGTACTGTCATTATGGGAAATAATGTCAAGATTTTACATGTGATGCAACAACACAACCTTCGTTAGTATGACGATAGGTGAAACTGAGAATATCTGGCGAAAGTTCGTACATGTGATCATTTGAGAAGACAAATACATCACTATACCCATGGATGTGCATATTTTCCGCTTTCTTCGCTCTTAGACTCTCCTCGACACCGATGGCGTACATGTCGAGCACACCTTGTACTCCTAAACGCTCTATGCAAACAGAAACAATGCGTTTTACAATGGAGCTCATCATAATGTATTTCAGTGAAGTAAGGTTTCTTCCGCCTTGACCTTCTCAATGTTTACATTACGTTTCCTATATGTGCGATTATTCAGTTTTCAAAGAGAGGCGGTTAAGTATGGAAGGTTTCATTAGGAGCACTTGATACTTATGCCTAGGGCATAAACACGTATTTATTTTTTTCCTTTGCAAAATACTCCAATCGAAAACTGTATCTAAAGAGAATGGCCTCATGCCAACTTGGGTTAAAGACCCCATCTCACCCTAAGATTTCAGTGAGGATCCGTAAGTGGGAGAATTGCAAGCGGTCCGCTTTCATGGGTTTAAAGCAGTTATTCTGGTCACCACGAACATTTAAGGTTAAAAACAAAAAATTAACAATAGTTTTAACAATTATAATCACGCTACAATAACAAACACTTGTAAATTTTCATAATGATATTAAAAATTAACAAATAAAAAAAGTTTTTTGAAGCTTGCCTTCGATTATAAATCCAACTTTTTTGTAGAAGAAATAGAGATATTTAAATAAAGTAGATTCTTTGGTTCGATTTGTTACAAGCAAACTGTACGTGTTGAAATTTTAAATACATAAGTACAGCCATCAATAAATTCAATTAAAAAATCATTAAAAAAATGTTTCTCGTAAATATCTTCGAAGCACTTTTGTGTTGGGACATACACGGCCAAGGTGTGATATCCCGGGTTTACCTGCGCTGCGTGCATGTCCGGCGGGTAGTAGCCCCCAGGCGGCCGAACCACTTCCCAGAATATGCATACTGAAGATGTACACTATGGGTTCAAAAGTATCCGGACACGTCCAAAATGGTTTTATGGTGTGGTCAAATTTTTCATGGAGGGGCTTGCAACCCTTGTTATTTTGTGTGGGACTATCACGGCAAAGGCCTACGCTGATGTTTTAAAAACCTTCTTGCTTCCCATTGTTGAAGAGAAAGTCGGGGATGACAATTGCATCATTCAACACGATCAACCACCTGTTCATTCTGCATGACCTATGGCGGAGTGGTTACACGACAATAACTCCCGTATAATAGAATGTTCTACACAGAGTCCTGACTTGAATCCTATAAAAACCTTTGGGATGTTTTGGAACGCAGGCGTCGTGTCAGGCCTCACCGACCTACATCGATACCACTCCTCAGTGCAGCACTCCGTCAAGAATGGGCTGCCATTCCCAAAGAAACCTTCCAGCACTGATTGAAAGTGTGCTGCGAGAGTGGAAGCTGTCATCAAAGCTAAGGGTGGGCCAACACCCTCTTGAAGTCCAGCATTACCGATGGAGGGAGCCACGAACTGGTAAGTCATTTTCAGTCACGTGTCCTGATACTTTGGATCAGAAAGTGTACCTGTCCATTCAGGATCTCTTCGGTGACATTAACAAACCGTTGTCAAGCCATTGACAAACCCTCCTTAAACAAGATTAGTCATGTAGATTTAAACAATCACGTATGTACTAACATTTATACACATACGACCTAGTAAGCCGATCCGGTGGCGAGATCCGCTAAGGCAGTAGTGCCGTAGCGAACTCGGACCGAAGGATCGCGGGTTCGAGTCCCACCCCGGGCATGGTTGCATTGTGTTTCGTCCTTTCACCCCCTATCATCATCATCATTATCGTGTTGTCATGTCAATCCACAGTTACCATACCGTTAAAAGCAATAGTGGTCGCTAATTACCTAGTAGTTGATGCGATCTTAAATAACAAAAAAACACGACCTAGTAAATGTTTATGCTTTGTCGTAAAAAGCCTATCAAATGGACAAGTGTAACTTATGATGAAAGTTAATACGAAGAGGTCTCACGTAAAGCATTTACCAAGTTGGTTCGCGTAAGAAAAAAAAAAGCCTTCCACTGCGCATGTGCTAAGATGCGGTAAGAATCGGAGCAGCCTGCCGCTGAAATTCTCCTCCAGTCAGTGGCCAAAATTGAGCGTCAAACGTATAACAATGAGTCTCCCCTTTCTTCCCGTCAAGACCTGCGTCGAGGGTCTGGGATGGAGTAACTTGTGGGTAGCAAGCGGTGTGGGCAGTTCGGGGGTGGTGAGCGCCAAACTGTTTTAATCCGGAAATACTTGTTCGGAGTTTGACATTCTCATCTGAAAATTCATTAACGAGTAACGCCGAGATATGTAGACTTATTTAAATTTAAAGATGTTTTAAAATTTGCTTTTGATAGATGATTATGTAGTTTAGCAAGATATTTCCATTGAATTTTTTCTTATCTTATTTGTATTACACGAATTGATAGTTGGCAAGAGATGTTGACGTACAGACCAAACTGTGTGACACTAAAATATGTCAAAGACTTTAAAATGGCCCTGTAGGGAGAATTCTTTTAGGCCAGCTGGTTAAAAT